ATTTCCTCTCGTATGTTCATACAACAAGTCTACACAATGCATATTGATTCGACGTATCTTTTTTCAACGAGGAGTTCCGATTTTATACTGCATAGAAATATACTCAAGTTCTTTTTCGACAGAACACAACCATTCTGTCATGATTAAAGTCATGACTTTATTAGAATGCTAACGGAGTTTTGTACGACGTAGCATCTTCATTATTTTATCATAGTTATGAGAGCTCAAAATTCTCTTATGGATAAAAATAATGGTTTTTATGGAATGTGTAGAAGTAAAATATTAATTATATTTTATGTTCGCCATTCTGAAGAATTGTTATTATTTCATTGCAGTTATTGCGGAAATGTATTTATGAATTTTTATTATTACTACAATTATTGCATTAATTTGTCTCTGCATTTCGCAGGGCTTAAGCAACAGAGAACAGCATGATAAAAAACATTGATGATAAAAAGGAAAAACGAGACATTAACGCGTACCGACCGTATTTTCAGGAATATTTTTTTATCGCAGAATACACGGCTAACTACAATTTATTCCTTTGGCTTACCACCAACTGTCTGTCATGCAGAGGGGAATATAGTGATGTGAAACTCGCGAAACTTGTGGCACTTTGACGTTCAGCGTGACCCGAAATTTTTTCTTTTTTCTTTGTTGAATTTCTATAACTGGCAGCATTCGTATCGGCACAATTTTATGCGCTTTTGAGTGCAGTGCCATGAGGTATCTCGTTCTTGATAAGCCTAACGAGATACTTCGTTCTCGATCAGTTCGTTCTCGTTCTTTAAAATTCCATCCCGTTGATGACCTCAGTATATAACGTACGAATAGCCCTTTCCATCAAATAGCTAAATACTCTCGTGCATATTTTCCGATATTTCTCCTACATTTTATTCCTAATGCATCTCTCGAGGCGGCAAGGCATTTTTCATGTACGTCGCGTTTATCTTTAGATCGATCCCGGAATTGAGATCGTGCTTATTGTCGAATACTCACGTAGGAAGAGACGAGGGCGCGATAAATAATTCTCATGACAGCCTGTGAAACTTCCTATCGCGTTAGGTCAAGGCCGCGTTACGAGAATGATTTTGTAACATATTCAAGGAGTTTCGCCAAGATTTCAGATTTTTCCTTGGTCACGAAGTGAACGCGTTTTCCACTCTCTTTCGATATTCGAATATCGTTTTTAGTTTGTTAATTGCGCACCAAGGGGTAATTAGTAATTAGTAATTATTTTAATATGAAGTAAGATTATATAGCTTAGATCTTTTAAAGAGATAATTTAATTACGTCGACGTATTATTAATATATTTATAATGAAATGCCACTTTATATCGATTAAAATTATAATCACCGGATTTTATTTTGACATTGATCTTGGTGCTTGTACATTTGTAGCAGTAACAATTATAAAGAAATTATTTGATAAAAAATTGTGAGTTATATCTATTATTAATTTTATTGATCACATTGGCGTTGTTTGGCCTGAGGTATATTATTATTCAGTGAAGCACAAATCTGATAGAAATCTCACCTAATTTTACAAAGGACTTTTTTTGACGCTCTTGATAAGAATTTAGAAAGAAATTTTTACCGGTTGATCCTTTTAGTTTCGCTCGTGAAGAAAATTTTTCACATGGCCCTAACACTGATCGTGTTATGAATCCTTCAATTTTTCTACAGCTATTCTCGTTAAGATCCTCTGCAGAAAGTATCCATAGAGTTGATACAAATGTAACATATTTTGAACAGACATTAATAAAGACTTACTGATAAAGACCAATCGGAGAATCTATTTCACTCAACGTATTATTTCAATGTATCGCTGTTGAGAGATACAATGAAAGTCTTATCTGTCTCTTTCATGTCGTATTAATATTAATTATCTGTAAGACGATGAGATACTTAATTATAACGGGGTTGCTTAATTGGAATTTCGTCTGGAAATGTAATTTAGATACAGATCAGAAACTCTATATTCTATAATCATGTTTCTATATGGAAAGAAAGTTTTGCTGAAGTATTTGAAAATTTAGCTAATATTATATAAATTTAAAAATAATTTTGTTGGACTATCAAAATAATTATGTAGGAATGTAATTATTTAAGCTGATTGTTAAAATTTCGAAACTTTTCGCAGCATTGTTCTTCATGCTTAAATTTTCGCCGGTGTGAAGTTGGCACCCCATTTTGAAAAAATCGATATTTTATACACAGTTCCGTTTGCACCCACAATAGTTTTACAGTTCCTGCTAAGTTTTAATAATAGTTTCGCTGATTTAGCTAAAAAAAATTTTTATAAATAGGGTGCCAACTTCGCGTGGCACCCCAAGTATCGCAAAAATTAATTTTTATCACGAAATTCTACAGTTTTCGAAGAGTTCTATAGTTCCTGATAGGTTTCAGAGACAGTTCCGGCCTCTACGTATTTTTAAACAATTTTTTAATGTCGGTGCCAGCATCCCACCACAAGAGTAAAATAATGCACAACAGCCAGTTCCCGTCGACTTTTTGCTATTTTCCTACAGTTCTGCAATAGTTCGATATATAAATAATTCAATACATAATAATTTAATACTGTTTATAATTTATTTAATACGATATTATTTATTAACAATATTAGTTTTGATGTAGTTTTAATATGTAGGTGTTAAATTTAATTTTTAATTGTTTAGCAGAATTATTAATATTAAATAAAAGCCAAACATATTTCTTTTTTCTGTAAGAATTAGTCAATATGAAAAGGAGTCAGCTTGTTTTTACAGCTGACGTTTGTGTCTTTTATTTTTCGCTTTGTCACTTTATACATTTTTTCAGTTAAATTTTGCAACATTTGCGTGTATCGCGCTATTGTAAAATTAGTTAAAAACACAAAATTAATTTTGTTTCCCCACATATTACACCATTATAGAATACATTATAGAATGACTCGGCGCGATCAGCGATGTCTTTGTAGTCGCGGCAAAGTCAAGGTTTTATAATTACGTAGCGTTAAATCTCGTTCACGGTGCTGGTTACACGTATGATTTGTGTGTCCATAAAAATCAAACGTGGCAATAAAATAAGTAAGACAGCTTTTGAAGTTGGCAAGGTTTAATTGACGGTTCGTAAAAATAGTTTTGTGTACTCGATACGAAAACGTGATTTACGTAGTTAAACGCTTTCAATATGCCATGATATATTTGACACTGTATGTTTTAAATTACTTTTAGTATTTACCAATCGACATTTTTTTCGATATACCTATATTCGAATCAGTGTGATATCAACGATTTAAATTTTTCATGATTTACACAATGAATAATGTATTATATTATACATCTGTTATTTTTGTTGTTACGAATATAAATATAAAAATTTCTTTTTTGTCACTTCATAGTGTATCAGAATACATCGAAATTAAATCAAATAGTAATAAGATTGAAAGACCGCTAATGTTAAACATAATAATTTTAAATTAAGAAGCGCCATGACGGTCAGAACGTTAAGA